TGACTATTACATACATTGGTGGTTTAACAAAAGCCTTCACTAGAGAAAGGTAAAGGAACATACAGTGAACATACAGATTAATGTAGGTGTTGAACAGCAAACTCGTAGTGTAGTAAGTCCCTCCCAGATGGTGTTAGGAGGAACTCACGTGGTGTAGTAGTTCCCTCAGATGGTGTTATGAGGGACCTGGCGTGGTGTAGTAATTCCCTTGCAGATGGTGTTATGAGGGGCCTCACGTGGTGTAGTAATTCCCTCACAGATGGTGTTATGAGGGACCTCATGTGGTGTAGTAATTACCTCACAGATGGTGTTATGAGGGACCTCACGTGGTGTAGTAATTACCTCACAGATGGTGTTATAAGGGGCCTCACGTGGTGTAGTAACTCCCTCACAGATGGTGTTATGAGGGGCATCACGTGGTGTAGTAAGTCCCTCACAGATGGTGTTATGAGGGGCCTGGCGTGGTGTAGTAATTCCCTCACAGATGGTGTTATGAGGGACCTCACGTGGTGTAGGGACTTGACGTGGTGTAGTAATTCCCTCACATATGGTGTTATGAGGGACATGTGGTGTAGTAATTCCCTCACCGATGGTGTTATATGAGTGAGGTTTGGTCTTAGGCCTTGCTATCGTAGACGGATTAACACATCGCTGGTTGTTGTTGGGTCTCACGGTCCGTTATCACTGGGTACCTGGGACATCACTGTGTGAAGGTTAACTTGGGTACGACTGTTACTGTTGAGTTGTTCTCACTGACTTAAGCACTGTTCACCACTGTTTAACACTGGTTCCGTTCCTTTCCTAAATGAAATTGTAACTTCTGGCGAGAACTTGTTGATATTCTGGTGGGGAGGAGGGTTCAGGGGAGGGGGGTTGGTATGGGCCAACTTAACAGTTGACCTGGCTGCTCCGAGAGGAGCGCCAGGTACGTCTTGACCCTTCGGTGGTCAAGGATGTCAGTGTGTGTGTGTGTAATAGTAATAATAATAATAATAATAATAATTGACGGTTTATTGAAAAAGTTCTGCAGCCCGAAGGCTGAAAATATACATTGGACATAAATGACTTATTACATACATTGGTGGTTTAACAAAAGCCTTCGTTAGAGAAAGGTAAAGGAACATACAGTGAACATACAGATTAATGTAGGTGTTGAACAGCAAAAACGTAGTGTAGTAACTCCCTCCCAGATGGTGTTAGGAGGGACCTCACGTGGTGTAGTAGTTCCCTCACAGATGGTGTTATGAGGGGCCACGTGGTGTAGTAATTCCCTCACAGATGGTGTTATGAGGGGCCTCACGTGGTGTAATAATTCCCTCACAGATGGTGTTATGAGGGGCCTGACGTGATGTAGTAATTCCCTCACAGATGGTGTTATGAGGGACCACGTGGTGTAGTAATTCCCTCACAGATGGTGTGATGAGGGACTTGACGTGGTGTAGTAATTCCCTCACATATGGTGTTATGAGGGACCACGTGGTGTGAAAATCAGCAGGAAGCAGAGGGCTCGCATGTAACAATTCCCTCACAGATGGTGTTATATGAGTGAGGTGTGGTTCCAGGCCTTCCTATTGTAGACGGATTACCACATCGCTGGTAGTTGGGTCTCACGGGCCGTTATCACTGGGTACCTGGGACCTCACTGTGTGAAAGGTCAACTTGGGTACCACTGTTACTGTTGAGTTGTTCTCACTGACTTAAGCACTGTTCACCACTGTTCACCTCTGTTTAACACTGGTTCCATTTCTTTCCTAAATGAAATAGTAACTTGCTGTGAGCTGCTGATAATTCCGTGGGAGAGGTTCAGGGAGGAGAAGCTGACCTGGTTGCTCGGAGAGGAGCCTTGCGGTACTGCCCATTCCTGGGGGGGTGGTGGGTGGGTGGGTGGGTGGGGTGGGTGGTGGTGGGTGGGTGGGTGGGTGGGGTGGGTGGTGGTGGTGGGTGGGTGTGTGTGTGTGTGTGTGTGTGTGTGTGTGTGTGTAATAATAATAATAATTAACGGTTTATTGAAAGAGCTTGGCAGCCAGAAGGCTGAAAATTTACAGTTACATATTTGAGGAATGGGTTACGAATTACAAATAATATACAAGTAACATAAGTGACACAAATAAGACATATAATAACTTAGATGGGGATCAGCTCAAACTACAGTTCATTTCAACATAGTGACAGTGTAAGGAGCAGTGTTTACCGGGAGTGAATACACTGAATTATTACATGTTATTGATAATTTTTACAATGGTTGGGACTGGGCTGTTCTTATAGCGATCGGTTCGTGCACGTATGGGCTGGATGCGGTTGTGGTGTCGAACAGCAATTCTCGGACAGGGGATGTCAGGTGGTAGTAGGAGCCGGTGTCGGGGATGGTGTAGAAGCTTCTTACCAAATTTGCAGATAAGGTCGTGGTGATGGTCAGTGAGAGTCGAAAGGGTCAGTGTGTTGAGCGCTTCTTGATATGTGGAGTAGGAAGAGGAGAGAATAATTTTGCATGCCCTCTTTTGCACTTTTTCTAGGTGTTTACGTTGTGTGGCATTTAGGGAGGAAGACCAGGTGGGGGAGGCATAGGTGAGCTTGGGAAGTATGAATGTTGTGTATACACTGAGGAGCTCGTGTGCAGGAACTCCGAGGGACTTGAGTCGGCGGAGCAGGTGGAGACGGAAACTGGAGGCTTTGACAACTTCACTGACGTGTGTGTGTGTGTGTGTGTGTAGACACACACACACAAAACACATACAAATAAATAATAATTGGAAAAATCCTCTCACAAATAATCAGAAACAAATTTATTAAAAATGTGACAGTCTTCCCTCAAGTAAGTGCTTTATTACTTTATTAATAAAGCATTTACTTAAGGGAAGACTGTCACATTTTTAATAAATTTGTTTCTGATTATTTATGAGAGGATTTTTCCAATTATTATTTATTTGTATGTGCTTTGTGTAAAAGAAATAACTGTTCTAAGGGCAAACACATAAAGGGAATATTAAATTTTTTTTTGTACACAAGTAAAAATGTAACCCCCCCACCCCCACGGTTAGCAAATGTTATATGCGGATTTGGCGGTTCGCAGATATTTTGAGAACTTAACCCCCGTGAATTTGGAAGGTCCACTGTATTCACAAATACAAATTTTCTATTCTTACACCACTTTCTCACTACACAAAACCTAAGGTACCTTACAGTAAGGTAACGTACTAAGTTTATACTTCATTCATTTCTTAATGTGATAGGTCCTAATTTACAGTACTTAGGTAGTTTTTTTTGTGTTTGTGAACTGATTTCATTTGTTTTAGAAATTTATTGGGGTTTTTGTAGTTCAGTACTAATTTACAGTACAGTAGTTGCTAACTGCACAACCTTATTTCCATGGGTGATGAGAAATAAAATAACTCTAAATGGATGACACTTAGAATATTTATGGTGCATTTCAAGGTAAGTAAAGGACAGTAATTATCAAAAGTAGGAGTACAGTATACAATAAATAAACAATATCACAGTACAATATACATATGAAATTATTCCACAAAATAGACTGAAATAATAATCTAATTGTGTTTACAAGAATTGAAGGAACTGTTAAAGTATAAAAAAATTATAGAAAATAAAATACAGTACAGTCGACCCTCGTTAATTCGGACCCCTTTAATCCGGATTTCGGATAATTCGGACGAAATTTGAACTGTCCGTATCAAATTTCTGGTTCAGGGATTGTTCCAGTTTCAATTGGGATTGCAATTTCAAATTTTGTGTCACTTCTAAGGATTAATGAAGTCTCTGGTGCACTCTAAGATTAAGAGAAAACGGACGACACAGGCGTCCTGAAGTGAGAGGAAACGGACTCCTATGATGGGGCACTCAAATAAAGAGACATGGCCACATGTTTTGTGGACTACCCACTGTACAGTATCCTTTTCATCACTTTGTAATAAACCTAGTCATGCCTATGTGTGTTTCTGATAATTGCCATAACATTATATATTTATATATTTAGCAGTTGTACAAACACAAGGCCTTACACATGCCACTCAGACTGACAGACTTGACAAGTTTTACCAACCATAAAGACAGTTGAAGCTTTAAACATTACTCACAATGGATCTTGAATATTCCAACTGTAATCAGACATACCTAAGTTGCCTCAACAATTGCAACCCCAGTTGCAATATCAAATTCTGTGTCACTTCTAAGGTACTATGATTTTTTATTCTCCATTACGAGGAAAATGCAGTACATTACAGTTTGGTGGGCTTTTATCGTGTCTTTTAGTGTTCTCTTTTGTGTTCGAGTCAAGCAAGTTGCCTTCTCTCTTGAAAAAGAAGCTCTACAACCACAACTCGTGTTTCAGAATTAAAATTGGGTGCCACAGATCAAGCTGGTTTCTTTACGTTTATCTTGCCCAGGCCTACCAAACTTCCCGAGTTGTGGCATTATGGTTACTAAATGGTAACTCGAGTGTACAAGCTGCTAATGCAGTTTGACGAATCCATTTGTCAGGTTACTAAAACTACCCCAACATTTAGAATTTTGCTTCGGACTTGCTGCCCAGAATGTATTAAAAAAAAAATGACCAAATGTGTTGTTGTATGGCAATGTTGGGCAGTTAAAGTGGATGATATATGCAGGCTTGAGAGAATTGAAATGAGAATGATGAGGTGGATGTGTAATGTGACACTAAAAAATAGGAAACCTTGCTTAGAGCTAAGAAGGTACTGGTGAAGTTATCTATAGATGTAGGTCGAGATGGTTTGGGTATGTGGAGGGGAGGAGAGGTGGGGACAGGTTGTGTGCAATGGCCTCAGAGAAAATCATCTGATACGAGAGACTGCGAGAGACCATGTTGCTTGGAGAGCTGCCATTAGGTATTCATGGTTAACCCACACAAGCATGGAGAACAGACGTAAATCAGTGAAGGTGATGAAGGAGAGGAGGAATACTAAGTAAAATCGCCTGCAGCTTCAAAACTACCTTCCATATCTCACTTTCAAATAGAATTTACTCACGCTCCGGGGCCATCCCAAGTCCATGTAAATGAATCCGTGCGGTTGCGGTAGCGGATGATAACAGGTTGAACAGGAACTCCAGGATAAAACGCTCCAGGTTTGAAAGTGATGAGGCAAGAACGGTTGGTGCACGTACCTTCAGGGAAAATCATTACCTGAAATAAAGGAATTCTCTTAAAATCTTTTCACCCTACTGTTTTCATAACAAATAATTATTCACCACTGAATAAGAAGACACCACTCCATAACAAATGTTAATCATGAGTGCTGAGGGATACTGAACTGGTAGATTTAGTTTATCACATGAACAGCATGATACAGTAGTACTGTACTGTAATTCTTTAGAGATGGCCGAGAGTACTCCATAATGTCTAAGCTCTACCAGTAAAGCATCTTGGAAAAATCTGTAGAGAATTTGTCATCAATGATAAGAGCAGTTCAGTTTCATTCAGTGTGCCATGTGAATCTGGTATAATAGTAAACTGAGAACATGACATACCTGAGGCAGATATTTTCATATAAACACTGCACACTAGTTAATGTCTCCCTCAAGAGAATACTGCTTATTTACCTTACAGTGAATCATTATACCAAGTCATCTTACTGTCAAGAGGCCATAGAGAGAGAAATACTGTATTCATAACATATAGGTAGGTAATTTAATCCTTGAAGAATAGTACTGTATCACTTATTTCATTGTGACAGATCATTGGACCTTAACAGCAATAAACTCTAAATGGAGAAGGTTGCTAAAAAAAAAAAATGAAATGTCAGGGAATAAATTACTACTTTAGATTTAGCATATTTAATATTTCATAATGTCAGCACATTTTCTTTTTCACATGATTGCACATCTTTAGAACACTATCTAATACTTTCCCAGTTACCTATTGACTACACATTAACCTAGACATTAATATTTCTATAGTCTCTCTCTCTCCAAATCCCACTTCCTAAAATTCCATCTCATGGGCTTTACTTCTCCTAGCTCAACTTTTGATTCACAATTCTTCCTAACTTATGAAATAAAATGTTTGTTATTTCATTAACTAATTTTATAGTCTTGTATACTCTATTGTACCACTTTTAACAGAGGCCAAGTATTTTCCTGATTTAAGACTGAATGTAACTCACCTGTGGCCAGTCTTCATCACTGGTAGCTCTACGGTTTATCTCCTGGATAGTATTTTGGCGAGAATTGGTGTCTTCTCGCCACACATACACGGGCTGTGTATAGTCAATATATTCTGCCAGGGGTAAAGAATAAGTGAAGTCTATATAAAATCTGCCAGTACTGTTTAAATCACAAATGACTACACCACGTACAGTACATGTAATCATAAATATTATTACAATAGTATTGAACACCATGCAAAAGTAAATTTATACTCCCAGTTATTATAAAATTCTTTATTCTACCCACAAATCCATTCACACTATCTACTCACAGGAGAAAATTCGCTTTGTAGAAATCAACACCTCAAACCGCTAGATTTTCTATTGTAATTATTCTCTTACTAATTATAAAATGTTAAAATGCTGCAATTTTCCTTGAGAAATCCAATTCTGCTGCACATTCTGCCCTTTGTCTTAACATATGCACTTCACTGCCCACCACGTACTGTAGGCAGTCATCAGTATCCTGTAATGGATCATAACACACTTGCTACCTGACAACATGTTTAATGGTTCCTTGTTCAGTTTATCTTGACATGTTTAAACATTTTAACAAGGCTAAACATAAATATACATGAGCCAAAATTTTTTGACCAAGGGGAAAATTTTCTAAAAAATTTACAATTCCTTTTTTTTTCATAGGTACATAAGATTGGAATTTAAAGGGATGTCTGTGAATTATTCTATAACAAATGATTTCCTAAATACATACATATACTTCACTGCTCATAATTGTTTTCATATGTATCAGCAATGGAGATATTTACATAGTAGTGAATAATTGTCACAATATTGTATATCTACTCAAGATCTCAAGGTAAATTTATTGCAGGTCACTTTGCCTTAAAATGATGCACAACATGCACTAAACACTACCTGACATGATACATCTAAATTTAGTATCTAACATGCTCCATAACACACACATTGTTTATTCTATGTTCTGATGAATAATTAGTGCAAGTGAAAATTGGTGACACATAATATGAAACTAGGAATGTGACAGAAGGGAGAGGATATAAACTAGCATTCGCAGTCTACGAAAACGAAAAATTTATTTGAGATTTTCACTCCACAATTCTTCTAGCACAAGACACAGTGACTAAAATAGTACATGTTAAAAATCAACAGGTTAGAGCAATGATGTCGCTCGCATGTGACACTTTTTGTATGCATTACTATATAAAACGCATATTCATCGTGATGTGATGATGCCAAAAAATTGTCACAAACAAGAGTTGCTCCAAGCCATCGAAACATTATGGTGTTGGCTGCTAGCACACCACGCTCCCTACTGCCAGTATACCTAACACAGAAAAGGGCTTTGTCTACCAGGAGAGTTGGCTTCAGCTACACTTGAGAACATAGCATGTTAAACACCTACTGCCAAAGAGGGGTAGTTGTAGGTTCTCTATGCGGTTCACCAGACATGGGACATTGGACCAGTAAACTGCGATGGCATCAAAGAAACTGCTATGAGGCCCAACAATAAGGATTGGAGCTTCAGCTTTGGTTGCCATGCGCCCCTTGATTCTGATCCATTGGCAGGCATAGCACCTCATCATCATGCGACCAATAAAGCCCATATACCATCGAATCTTCCTGTGGAGTCACAAAATATACCCTAAGTGAGATATTCCCTGGTAATTCTAACACCCTTGGATATATGAGGTTAAACTAAAAATCACAAACAAGTGCCACAAGCCATCTGCTAGAGAAAGATTATTGAACATCTCACATTAAGGAGGTTCTTTTAGCAGTACGTATACCTGTAACTGAAATACTATATTGCTCATACAACCACCACACTAAAAGATACATAACCCACACTATAGTAAGCCATGTCTCCAAAAGATACTGAAACATGTCAACCTAAACATATTTTAGGATAGAATGAGTATGGTTCATGTGCATGTATGTGTGTAAAAGTACAAGGGCCCCCCCAAATTCGCAGGGGTTAGGTTCTCAAAATGGCTGCAAATTGCCAAATCCTGAATAACATTTGCGGACGGTGGGGGGGGTCATTTTTACTTGTGTACAAAGATATGTATACTGTATTCCCTTTATATGTTTGCCCTTAGGACACACACACACACACACATATTTACAATACAGTTAAAGGGAATTACTGTCTCTAGAACGAATGGCTCCCTGTCCCAGCCGCAAAAATGCTGGCAACTTTAAAACTACCCACAGACATTCTTGGGTGCATCCAGGGTTCCATCCGCGAATAACCAAGAACCGCAAAGTAAAAATCCGCAAAATTGCGGAGCTCACTGTATGTGCACGAGTGCATGAAAAGGAATGCACATAAATATACGAGTTTGTGCTTGTCTCTGCATCTATGAGCTTTCATGTGTTTGTTTATTCAAAGTTTGTGCACTATTATTCTGATTTACTTCTGTATTTGCATTTCCCTATGTGTTCAAAAATTCAGATACTGCACTGTACACAAGTTTCTAGTGCAAGAGTTTATGTACCTGAATTTGTGTAGTGTGAGAGTTTATGTACTGTACACTCGCACTAAAAAGTATCGGTGCAGGGTGTGATTGACGATTTCCGAAACGATACTTATACACTGTGATATGTCGGGAAGGTTGGTAAGTGTATCCTCATAACCACCCCCCCACTAAGTGTTGCCATATGGCTGACAATCAGTGTGTTTGTTTCCTCTTTTCGGATTGTTGCTTTGTGACGACTGAATGATGAGCGAGGGTTCGGTCTCGGTGAACATGGGTATAAAACAGAGGCAATATGAAGCAGTAGAGATCTACACATGCCAGACAACATGGAAACCTCAGAGGGAACACGAGGAGCTATTATTGGCCTTTATAACGAAGGGTTCGGCGTTACAGATATTAACCAGCGGGTTGGTGTCCACAGGAACACCGCTGCACGATGGATTCCGCGATACCTCGAAACTGGCGCTACAAACGACAGGTCTCAGAGCAGCCGTCCACGCTGCACCACGACCAGGTTGAGTGGTTTATTTGGTAGCATAAATTAATGTGGCAATATTCATAAGTACCACAAATAATTTTGTTGACAGGGAGCTCCTCATATTTCATACTGTCTATTTATCACTTCCCGACCTTATTTATAACAGTTTGTTTCACTTAACCAGGCCATAGTAGCTGCTCAGCAGCATTACAGGGCTGCCAACATACGGCTGGAACAACTCGCCTTTCCCAATACCTATCGTCACTGGTCTCAAATTGTTCACACTACAGTATGCACCGATACTTTTTGTTGCGAGTGTACATGAATTTGTATACAGAGTGTGAGTGTGTACATATCAGTTTGAGGAAATCAGACTGTGTAGGTATCAGCTGTGTACAGGTACACAGTACATCATTTTGTGTGATTTAGTAGTACAGTCACCCACAAAATTCCTGTCATCTTTCCTCGTGAACCACGAACACTGAGATTCAGACTCGTGAACTCAAAGCAGTAGAAACTATGCATTATTCTATCCATAAATGTTTCAGATACACGAGTCTGAATCTCGGGGTTCGTGGTTCACGAGGAAAGATGACAGGAATTTTGTAGGTGACTGTACATATCGGTATTTATGTACAACTGATGTCAAGTGCCCTCAGGTAAGCAACAAGTGTGGGCTACAGTTGTTGTTTTGCAAAAGTTTACATGTAATATAAGTGAAGTGTAAGTGTGTGTGTTTCATATACTTTTTGCTTCATTCATACAAGCTTGTTCCTGCTATGGCAAGCTGGGGATAATTTAATTACAGTAGAAGTCCGAAAATTCGAACCGCTCGGGGATTGGGTCGGTCCGGATTTTCGGATTTTCCGGATTCTCGAGCAGTACTTTTAAAATTCAAATTTAAGGAGGAATAAAGAAGAGATGAACAGGTAAATTTTGATAGTCTATTCATTAGCAAATACTCAGACGAGGCTGTGAATTCTGAAATTTTATTCTTTGCCCTTTTTATATCATAAATTGTAGACTTTCCGATGTCGTATGTTTACATTAAAACAGTATTGCTCACACCACGTTCTAGTTTCTTAATTATTTCAAGTTTGTCACTCAATTTCAACGTGTTCTTCTTTCTCTTCACACAACGAGGCTTATCTACTTTAAGAGCCATTATTATGGGCTTGTAAATACGTATGCTATACAGTATATGGTAAATGGAATGAGTAGGACACAATATTAGATACGTTGTCACAGTTTGATTGCTCGTTTTAAAATGGCGACTGCGTGGTCGCTTGTTGTCGCTGTGCAGCTGTGGCGCTCACGCATGCGCGCACACACACACACACACAAAAGCCCGCTAAATTTAAAAAGTTTGAGTTTTCAAAAAGTCCGGATTTCTGGCATCCGGATTTTTGGACTTCTACTGTATTAACATTCAGCAGCTGGTGGGTTGCTCCATCCTCTTAGTAAGATGCTACTCAGCTAAAGGGCTGTTCCACTATTGGCAAGAACACCAAATATTGTAATTGTTTATTGATGACTGTACAATGGCCAGTGCACAAGATGGGAATCCAATCCTCCACTCCTGCCAAGAATGAAACCCATGACCATTTGCTTGCCAGATAAATGCTCTATCAAAAGAGATACATAGCCACTATAAATTTGTATACATAATAATCTAAAAAAATTTATAACTGCATTAATTATTTCACCCAAATATAAAAAAAAATTTCTATAATGTGTCCCTTATTCTGTCACTAATGTTGTAGTCACTGTTTGTTTGTTTGAGTTTTGCTGAACCAATTATGTCACACAATGAACCCAATTAATAATAAAAGAATGCACATTTCTTGATAACACAGCTAAGAAAATAAATAAATTGTGCTAAACCAGTGGCACTCAAACTAAGTGACCACATTCTTAGTAAAGATAAAGTGTAACTGTAAATCTTTCTTCTAGGAAGTCTTATATTTTCCTTAATTCTATAAACAAGACAACATAATAAACACACAGTGCCTGAAACGTGCCTAACCCAGTTTAGCCTCATTTATTACATCTTTGTTTTGCTTACTGTCAGGTCTTACATCTACTGTGCATGAAACCCAAATGCTTGGTTAAATATATTTTATTATCCCATGCATTCTGAAATGCAAGAAGCTGTTTATTTAATTCTGATATATTTGATGTACAAATAATGCCTACAATATTTTATACAATACCTCTTCATTTTTAAATCCATTCTTAAATTTTAAACCAAAAATATTTTATGCTATTATATTTTCACTAAGTTGCAATCTATTCAACACATTCTTTCAGGTCACTGATCTGTCCATTTTTCATTTTTTAATTATTTTACATCAAATACCATTTTTTTTTCAAATATGACCTACAAATTATGTGAATTTCCACAGTTACTGTATCTGCATTACCAGATCCCACTTCCATCTGTTTTCATACATTCAAATGCTCTTCCTATACCTCTGGCTCTTGATTCAGACTACTGTACAGTCTCGTTCAAGATTCTTCAAACACTGCTGGAGACAGCTGGCAACTCAAGGCCGTTTGTTTACTATAGTACGTAGTAAAAATTATGAATGAATGCAAAAGCCCAACCATTAATTAAGCAATGGGAACTAAGTAACCAATCACCGATCACTTTTACATTCATTCATAATTTTTACTACGTACTTTAGTAAACAAAGGACCTGGAGTTGCCAGCTGTTTCCAGCAGTGTTCGAAGAATATTGAACGAGACTGTACATCATATGACAGTTGAGAACCTTTTCTGCACATCATCATGGTTTCCTCCGATACCAATCTGAAATCCATTACGTATTACTCCACTACAGTACTTTAAAATGGAAGCCATTTATTTTTTTCCATACACACTTTTCATTTTTCTTTTGAGTTCTTGACACAAAGGAGAATCAGACCCATCCCATTTTAATTCCTCATAAATATATTCTATCCCTATTAATTATTGCAACTTTTTATCCTTTTATCCAAGGCCATTTTTCGCTATTAATATATGAGAAGCTCCGGACCATAATATGCTAAGTGCCTAAATAGAAAATGGAGGAAAATGCTCTGGTAGGAAAGTGTGACATACAATGGTAAATGGCTGCACTGGTTTACTCTCTTCAGTGTCCCCTTAGTATTTGACCCACTTCTGAATATTGTAAATTACTACATTCTGCATCTCACATATCCTTTGTTCATTCATACACTACTAGTTTATTATGATCAAGCCTTTATGACAATAAATACCCACATCTAGTACTATCCTCACATTCTGTTATTCAAAAAACCTTCAAAATACTATACAGTGGTCCCTTGGTTAACGAACGCCTCGGTTAACAAATTACCTTCCATAAGAATCTTCAATTCTGTTAACGAAAAAAATTCAGTTAACGAATTCCTTACGAACTTTTCCAAACATGTTTTCGCCTGCTCACCAGCTGTAGTATTAGTCCGCCAATACAGTACAGTTGAACCTCGATTTACGCGGTTCTCGTTTACGCGTTTGGTCATTTACGCGATACCTTGCCAGAACCGGGATGCCCGATTTACGAGGTGAATTTACTCATTTACACGGGTGAAGTATAATTTGTTTATTTACTGAAGATATTTGTTTTAGCTCATAAAATTCAATACAAATTACCTGGCCA